ACTGGAGGTCCGCATCTTTGAACACTTGGACACATCTATCAGAACAAATACTCGTGCTGTGTAGGTCTTGGGACCTGTGGCTTAGTTCCTGTAGTGAACTACAGTGTACTATATTGTAAGTTACATTCATTTTGGCCAAGCTAATTGTATTCCCTGTCTCACTGCTTATGTGTACTACCCCATTTATCTAAACCACAATAATGTTCTGTTCCCAAATATATTATTGTACAAAGACTTAATAATAAACTGTGTTTGAGTAGAATAGTAATACTCTCTGTCCCCGTTATTTTCTCCATTTATTTATGTTTAGTTAAAGTAGTGAGAGGGTGAGTAGTGTGGAGTGGTGGGTAGAGTAATGAGAGATGAAGTTGTAGTCACCAGTGTCCTCACATTACCTACCTACCGCTCACCTCTCCTGTCATCTCCTACCTACCTCCGCACTCATCCCTCCTACTGCCTCGCCTGTCCCCTACCTACTAACTCCCTCCTCTTACCCCCATATTCCCCTAATCATTACCACCTACATGACAGGCTGAAGAGGGGTTGTTGAGGTGGTTTGGTCATTTAGAGAGAATGGATCAAAGTAGAATGACATGGAGAGCATATAAATCTGTAGGGGAAGGAAGGCGGGGTAGGGGTCGTCCTCGAAAAGGTTGGAAGAAAGGGGTAAAGGAGGTTTTGTGGGCGAGGGGCTTGGACTTTCAGCAAGTGTGCGTGAGCGTGTTCGATAGGAGTGAATGGAGATAAATGGTATTTGGGACCTGACGATCTGTTGGAGTGTGAGCAGGGTAATATTTAGTGAAGGGATTCAGGGAAACCGGTTATTTTTATATAGCCGGACTTGAGTCCTGGAAATGGGAAGTACAATGCCTGCACTCTAAAGGAGGGGTTTGAGATATTAGCAGTTTGGAGGGGTATGTTGTCTATCTTTATACGAATATGCTTCTAAACTGTTGTATTCTGAGCACCTCTGCAAAAACAGTGATTATGTGTGAGTGAGGTGAAAGTGTTGAATGATGATGAAAGTATTTTCTTTTTGGGGATTTTCTTTCTTTTTGGGTCACCCTGTCTCGGTGGGAGACGGCCGACTTGTTGAAAAAAAAAATGTAATAATAATAATAATAATAATAATAATAATAATAATAACCCACATGGAGACAAATGCAAGAAGTTGATTGATCTGTATATTTCGACCCTCTTCTGGGATCCTTTTCAAGAAATACACAAGTGAAAGGAGAACATGAATTTATAGGAAGACTTGTAGGTATCACCGTGCGGGGCAGTAGTTGTAGGTGTCACCGTGCGGGGCAGTAGTTGTAGGTGTCACCATGCGGGGCAGTAGTTGTATGTGTCACCGTGCGGGGCAGTAGTTGTAGGTGTCACCGTGCGGGGCAGTAGTTGTAGGTGTCACCATGCGGGGCAGTAGTTGTAGGTGTCACCGTGCGGGGCAGTAGTTGTAGGTGTCACCGTGCGGGGCAGTAGTTGTAGGTGTCACCGTGCGGGGCAGTAGTTATAGGTGTCACCGTGCGGGGCAGTAGTTGTAGGTGTCACCGTGCGGGGCAGTAGTTGTAGGTGTCACCGTGCGGGGCAGTAGTTGTAGGTGTCACCGTGCGGGGCAGTAGTTGTAGGTGTCACCGTGCGGGGCAGTAGTTGTAGGTGTCACCGTGCAGGGCAGTAGTTGTAGGTGTCACCGTGCGGGGCAGTAGTTATAGGTGTCACCGTGCGGGGCAGTAGTTGTAGGTGTCACCGTGCGGGACAGTAGTTGTAGGTGTCACCGTGCGGGACAGTAGTTGTAGGTGTCACCGTGCGGGGCAGTAGTTGTAGGTGTCACCGTGCGGGACAGTAGGGAGCAGTGAACACTACAAACATAATGGATGTTTTAAATTCCTTAAAGGTGACAAAGTGACACTCGCTCAGTTATCAGTCTAGACACCTGTAAAGTGCTCTAGTTCTCTTTTATTAAAAAAAATGTGTCACGAAATTATAAGTTCAGAAGAGCATAAAGTTCAGCAAAACAATGTTTTGCAACGTGTCTTTTCTTCACTATTATCATTCGGTATTTGAATTTAAAGAGTCTGCTGGTGGTGTTTTAAGAGAGAATTGGAACAATTTCTCCTCGTGTGGATTTTGAATGATCAGATTACACGCTCAGTGGAAGCTTTGGGTGTTTGACCAACACCTGCCATTGGCGTTCCATCTATCCACCCAGTACAAATAAAAAAATGTCATATGATGGATGGTTTTTTCCACTTCATTCAGAAAACTAAGAACAGCCGCGTGACATCGCTCTATAATGCTAGACATTTTTTTTTAAGAATGTTAGGTTTAAATCCTGTCGATTAAATCATGCCTACATTTCACCTTTATGCCAAATAATGAAGAATACTGCTGCTGCTGTTGTTGGTGCTGCTGTTTCTTATGCTGGTACTGTTTCTGGTGCTGCTATTGTTGCTTCTTTTGCTGGTGCTGGTGTTGGTGATGGTGCTGCTGCTGGTGGTGTTGCTGTTGTTGCTGCTGCTGCTGGTGTTGGTGCTGCTGATGGTGATGATGGTGCTGCTGGTGTTGGTGCTGTTACTGCTGCTGCTACACATCAACATGGTGTAGGTCTGTCTGGTCTAACAAATCTTTCAATGACATCAGTGGGCGAAGTTTTTACTGCGGATCTAATTATAGTTATGTCTCAGCTCAATCTGCCTTCTCGTTTCCCTCTTACCCCTTCCCTCTCTCCTCTTCCTTCCAACTCTCCACTTTATTTTACTATTACTCCCCAAGGCATTACTTCCTTCTCTCTGTCCCCGCTTTAACTTCCCTATCCTTTCTTTTCTTTTCTCCTCATTTTTCTTTCTCATCCGCCTTTCAGCAACTTGCCTATCTTCACATTCGTCTTGTTCAGCATAACTTTCATAGCTACAACAATTTTCCTGTCAGGATTTGAATAAACGGTTTAGATAACCGACAAGGTGATAAATGAGACGTGTGCAACATTCGGATATGCACTGGACTGAAGAAGCATTGCCTGAATAAAGAAACCAAAATGTTGCATAAATGTCTCATTTATCAATTTTCCTGATTTTTTCTGTTTTCCTTACCGTCCATATATGACATGTGATAGTTTGATAATTAAATCCTAATTCTGTAACTGAATTGTTAAGAGGTAACGTAAACAGAATTACTAATTAATAAATTATAATTGTAATTAATGAATGACGGTATGCTTGAAGAAATATGAAAATGCAACTGTTAAAGCCTAAGCTATTATGAACTGTATAACGAAATGTGTCATAGCTGGAAGGATATAGAAGTTGTACATGAATGATATACAATACCCACAAGATGAAGAATTAGACACATGTGCAACATCTGGGTATCTTTATTGTAGACCTTTTGCCATCCAGTGGCTTTATCAATACAAATTCAAGGACATAATTGGAAGGCAGTAGAACTATATACAAAAGACGAGGAATCAGTCCCTCAGCCTTGGAGTTGGTGTTAAAAAAGTCACTGAATGGCGAAACGATTACAGTAAAGATACCCAGATGTTGCATATGTCTAATTCTTCATCAAGGTATGGAAGGGAATCCTTCGCGGGAGGAAAGTACAATAACGGTAGATATAACTAAACCCAAGATGAGAAAATCGGATATATCACTAATTGCCATGAACATCCGACTGAGTTCTCTACCAGATACAATACTCTGTCGTATTGTTCCAGTCGATTTGGCTAAAGTTAAAAATCTCCAGTTAAAATTACTTTTTCGTTTAGATTCTGAGCAGTTGCGTCCCAAAGTTACCGTGGTCACTATCTAAGTTTGAGGGTCTGTTGATCACACCTAAGATTAGCTTCTCATGCCCTCGAGAAACTGCAGCCAAACAGATTCCGTGTCTCTCCGCTCCTTTATAACGTTTAAATTTTCCCTAACATAATAGCAACTCCGCCCCCTTTCTTGTTGACTATCAGTGTGGAATAATTTATTTCCCTGTATGTAGAATTCAGCAGACTTGTCCGTATTTTTCAGAACGAACCACGTTTCAGATATTGCAATAATGATGTGGGTTAATTAAATGGGGGAGTGCGAAGGAAAGAATGATAAACGTCCTTCCTCTGGTGGTTGTTTATTATTCAGTGATATCTTCGTCTGCCAAGCAGAGATCCTGCTTCTGCTAGGTCTGGGGAAATACGAATATGAAGCGGTCATACACCTCCCAACCGTCATACTGGTTGTTACATTTATAATACATGATATATAGATAATAATGCCATTATTGACAATATTATCAATGTTTCTTGCACATGCAGTTAGTCTTAGTTCATCTGTTTTATTTCTTGCACTTAAGCTATTTGTATAGTAGATGCTAAGGAAGCATTTGCCTCATTTTCTCCGTCTCTGTGTTTATAGAGCAATCTTCCGATTTTAATCAAAAACTGTATTATGAGTTATCCTGTTTTCTGAACTTTCCCTAACATATCTGTCAATTTTTTTCCCTCTCCACTGCTAGTGCTGCAACTCCTTTGTTTCTCTCACACACACATCCTTACTTCTATCTTCTATCAGTTTAAAGCCTTAGACAATTTAGCAATGACTTCTTCAACTGATGTCAGTGTGAAGAGAAAAATTCGTATTGAGGTATTAATGTTTTATATTAGATAGAATGCCAGTTGCTTGGGCCTTTGCTAGTTTCAAGGCTGTTCAAGTAACACTTTGTAAGAGCGTGTAAGTCAGTGCCACATATGACCCAGGTCCCTAACTCATGGGGCGTTTTGCCTGGTGATGAGAAGGTATTACTTTCTTTTCCTTTGTGTTCCTTTACTTGTTGACCGTGTCCCGGGTCAGTCCTCACTTCACCCTCCACTCCTATCCTATCTTTCCTTTACGGATAATTTTATTGATTGTGGTGTTTTTTACTTTTCAGTATTTGTAGTCGACAATAGTTAACCAAAACTAATAAATCACATTGAGACATTTTACCAATACATTATAGTGTGTTCCGACTCCCTGCAGGGAGTGCCTGCTTGACCCTCCTCTCAGAGAGCGATTGCGGAGACAGCCTCAACTCACCGTCAGGAAACAATTATTCTCCATGACTGGCTGGAACTTGGCCATCTACCCCGACATGACCATCAAGGGCACCAGAGAGTTCTACAACATCTACGGTCAGTTTTGTTGCTACGTCGTCCATAGAGAAGCGCTAAATCCATAAGAATTATACAGCGCCTAGCGAATAAGACGTACAGAGTAATCAGGTTTTATCTTTGGCTGTGATGCTGTCAGTTTGAATTCCTATTTATTATTATTATTATTATTATTATTATTATTATTATTATTATTATTATTATTATTATTATTATTATTATTATTTTTATTATTATACTAAACTTGAGTGTTTTGTTCCGCAGCCATCTTAGAGGTGCGAGCAGTTGGCAAAGGCGAGGTGCAGGTCAGAGGAGTTGATGCGGGACTCTTCCTAGCCATGAACCACAAGGGCAAGATATATGGAGAGGTAGGTACGGGAGAGAGAGAGAAAGATCTGTTCTAACCATAAACCACAAGGGCAAAAAAAAGTTGAGAAGTAGGCGAAAGAAAAATAAGATCTGTCCTAATCATTAACCATCAATTCCTACGTTTATTTTACATATTTAGTTCTGAAAATCGTTAATATAATATTTTTAACCTTTGTGAGTTACACTAATCTTGTCCTCTCTGCAGCCTAATGAGCTGAAGGAGAATACAGTATGGGTGGAGACTTTATCTGGAGCCTTCTTCAACTACTTAAACAAGAAGCACGCTCACCTGGGCTGGTATCTGGGCATCAAGAAGAGTGGTAAGGGCAAGCAAGGCCACAAGACGGAGTACGGACAGAGGGCGGTGCAGTTCCTTCCAAGACATCCATATCCAATAGGCTAGAAGGAACAGTTCCGTAGTCAATTATGTACATAATGCCTCTTTACCTCTACGTGGTAAGACTGAATGGCAAAATATACAGCACTGTACAGACATCTTCATATTCTCTTATGGGGATTTTTCTTCAAGTAAAAATTAAAAGAAATGCCTAGTTTATGGCTCGGTTACATAACCGAAGAACTCTAATTTCGAACATGTCGACCAGTAGGATTATGAAAAAAAATAAATGAAAACAAGCCTTTATTATGCAATGTTTCGCTCAAATATGATTTATTTTATGTCCTACAGAGGGTCTATAAGTATCTTTATTGCCTCAGGTGTCGCTGTTTAGTCTGATTTGTGTTCATAGGAGATGTGTATCTAAATGCCCTCATAAGTCTATCCACAAGACGCTGCCACTTTTTTCAGTGCACGGAATTTCATGGAACAGGTGTTGGGGTCAGAGTTGTGATATGTGTATGTCCTGCATCGCATTACTATCACCGTATTCATGGGAAAGCACTGAACGTGTAGAACCTAAAGAATACAAGTTAATCCGGTGTGATTCAAGCAAGGCTAACTAATTCCTAGGATTAAGTGCCATTCACAAGCATCAAGGTACCCCTTTCCCCCATCCCTTTGACAGGCAGTGCGAGTAGTAATGCAGCGAAGGCACTGGCCCCGTAGACCCTTGCTGGAGCTTCAAAAGGTGAGAAATCTACAGGAGTATAGCGTTCATACGCAGCTATCATGACATATAAATATCGAAGAGGTAGAATTTGGCACTGGCATAGAATGGATATTTTTGTTATTTTAATGTTTTGAACGCTGTGTTTTATCGAGTCAGTGACTTTATAACGGTCACTGTGTGGGCTAGAAGTTGTTGCAAATAAATCAGGGCACGGGTGGGGCTTGAACCCATGTACGTGAATCATAAAACTCACAGACCAATGCGTTAACCATTCAGCCAACGGCAGTCATGTTTTTACGACTTCTTGAATCAGTTGTCTCTAATTTAAGTATCCAAAACATCTAGGTGCCCTTTACACGACAGTTTTTACCCAAATACCTCCTCTACATGTGTAAAAAATATATTTAACCAGAGAGACTTAAGAAAGTAAGAAGAAGGATTAAAGTTTCTTGATCACATGTAAATTAGATTGACTTTAATGATTTTGTTGTAGAATGGATGAAGATGTGAGTGTAGCCAGGGGGGGGAGGGGAAGGTGTGTGAACAATATTACCACCTATGAACACACGAGACATTATATTCACTGGGAAGTTCTAAACCCGTAAGGGTCATACAACGCCTCGGAGTTTGTCTCTTGTTAACCATATTAAAAGTGGGTGTCAATGTCTTATTTTTTTCAGTACTTCATAAGTTAAACGTGTCTCTGGTATTCATTTGATATATTTATAGTTTCTGTACTGCTACTAATAATGAGGAAGCACTAAACCCATAACGTGAATGCCAGGTAAGCAGGTTTGATCCAAGGAATGGTTGGGTAACTTCAATTCTTTAGATCAAGAGCCCTTCATCAGAATGAAGACACTCTCAACCTTGAGGAGTCTAGCTTCCATTAATATTTTACTGCTGTATTCAGTACTTATGTCTGAGAGCAAGTCATAAGACAAAATGTATATATTTGTGTAAGTTAATTAGTGCTCCAACCACAGATATGCCAACATTTTCATATATGCCTGAATTGCATATCAAAGCATCATCCAGAAATGCTGGGGATTCATCATCAGTACACTTGGTACCTGGAGTTTCCAGGTGATAGGTGATGAATTAAAAATTGCATGGAAATTCCAAGATGTAAAATTAAATTAATTGATCTTAGGTACTCAATAACCACTTAGATTCGTTGATGTACGGCATGTAATCAATAGTGCGGTTTTTAGTCATTCTTCCAAGACTTTTGTGATATTTCACAAAGAGTATGGAAATTCTCTAGACACTACGGTATTCTTTGAAAGTTGTCAGACGTACGATTTTGATGATTACTAAGTCTTTTGTCTAACTAAAACATAAACGGTGGACATTTAATGATTACTGTCTTGTAATGTGTGTTGCAAAGGCTCGTTAGAATAGTTTTTGGGAGCCTTGCGGGCCTTACTGTCATGTCCATTACTTTCCATACATTGCTCCTGAAGAAGCGTGTCAAACGCGAAAAGCTTCGATCAGTTTCATTCTCCACTTCATGGTGTATATACACTGAGAGATGTAAGCTCTCGTTGAATATACACCGAAATATAAAAACGCTGTAATAAACATCTATTGGTGTATATATATATACTGATAGATAGCTCTCGGTGTATATACCCTGATTCTTACCCTGCTAGTCATTATAGTTACACTGCCTTTACAGTTTACGTATTCCTCTGCATTAATATTATCATAGCACATTAAACAAATACTTTAACGTGAGTGTAGATTTTTTTCAGTGGTCGCTAAATTTGCTTTTCGATCATTTATTCTTAATATATTTTGTTTAGGTTAGCAAATTTTAAATGGCAAAAGCTGTCAAACACTATACTACATTACGAACTTTTTATATGTTTATATAGTTAGTGGCGGCTGGATGAATATATGAATACACTAAGTGACGGCTTGGTTAATATAAATTGTACCTAGTGATGGCTTGGTGAATATATATATACAGTGACTACTGGTTGAATATATATACCTAATAACTACAGGGTTAATATATACCTACTGATGGCTGGGTAAATATACACAGAGACAGCTGGGAGAATATATATTTTATAGTGACGGCTGCTGGAATATGTACCCAGTAACTGCATGGTTAATGTAAAAGATAGCTAAATTTTAATGGAAATTTAACGAAAACGGGACAACGGAGGCAATGGTTTTCAATTAAATGCGAAGAAAGGTCAAAAGTATTTTGATTTTGCATAGTAATGAATCTTAGCCAGGTTGCATTATTCAAAGTGGAATACAATAGCATAATTATATTAAAAATTTAGTTACAAAAAAAAGATATGCTAAATATTCTCTTAGTACGTGTTATCACCAAAATAACAATACTGAAATTTTAATTCACTTGTAAATTATTATTATTATAATTATTATTATTATTTCATGAGGAAGCCCTAAACCTGTTGGGGTTATATTATGTCTGAGGAATGAGAGGTAATCGGGTTCGATACAAGGAAGGGAAGACCACTGCAGTTTCTCGCTATCATTAAGGTACGCCCCTTGAAAGGGATGTCTATTGTAAATCCTGTATTCTCCTGTCATTATTTCCATGTGGGTTTCCTCCAAACACTGACAGGTGTTCACGACACTGATGCTCCATTATTCGTATGAAAAACTTTCAAGTTTTTCCACAAGGTCTCAGAGAGTGTCACTAGTTCTCGATGTCATCAGGAACCCAGTGACTTAACCTCGACGTCATCAGGAACACAGTGACTTAACCTCGACGTCATCAGGAACACAGTGACTTAACCTCGACGTCATCAGGAACACAGTGACTTAACCTCGACGTCATCAGGAACACAGTGACTTAACCTCGACGTCATCAGGAACACAGTGACTTAACCTCGAGGTCATCAGGAACACAGTGACTTAACCTCGATGTCATCAGGAACACAGTGACTTAACCTCGAGGTTATCAGAAACCCAGTGACTTAACCTCGAGGTCATCAGGAACACAGTGACTTAACCTCGAGGTCATCAGGAACACGTAGGGGATCAGTAACTATGCTGACAAGTGACTTAACCTCGAGGTCATCAGGAACCCAGTGACTTAACCTCGAGGTCATCAGGAACACAGTGACTTAACCTCAAGGTCATCAGGAACACAGTGACTTAACCTCGAGGTCATCAGGAACACAGTGACTTAACCTCGAGGTCATCAGGAACCCAGTAACTTAACCTCGATGTCATCAGGAACCCAGTGACTTAACCTCGAGGTCATCAAGAACACAGTGACTTAGCCTCGAGGTCATCAGGAACACAGTGCCTTAACCTCGAGGTCATCAGGAACACAGTGACTTAGCCTCGAGGTCATCAGGAACACAGTGACTTAGCCTCGAGGTCATCAGGAACACAGTGACTTAACCTCGAGGTCATCAGGAACACAGTGACTTAACCTCGAGGTCATCAGGAACGCAGTGACTTAGCCTCGAGGTCATCAGGAACACAGTGACTTAGCCTCGAGGTCATCAGGAACACAGTGACTTAACCTCGAGGTCATCAGGAACACAGTGACTTAACCTCGAGGTCATCAGGAACACAGTGACTTAACCTCGAGGTCATCAGGAACACAGTGACTTAGCCTCGAGGTCATCAGGAACACAGTGACTTAACCTCGAGGTCATCAGGAACACAGTGACTTAACCTCGAGGTCATCAGGAACACAGTGACTTAACCTCGAGGTCATCAGGAACACAGTGACTTAACCTCGAGGTCATCAGGAACACAGTGACTTAGCCTCGAGGTCATCAGGAACACAGTGACTTAACCTCGAGGTCATCAGGAACACAGTGACTTAACCTCGAGGTCATCAGGAACACAGTGACTTAACCTCGAGGTCATCAGGAACACAGTGACTTAGCCTCGAGGTCATCAGGAACACAGTGACTTAACCTCGAGGTCATCAGGAACACAGTGACTTAACCTCGAGGTCATCAGGAACACAGTGACTTAACCTCGAGGTCATCAGGAACACAGTGACTTAACCTCGAGGTCATCAGGAACACAGTGACTTAACCTCGAGGTCATCAGGAACACAGTGACTTAGCCTCGAGGTCATCAGGAACACAGTGACTTAACCTCGAGGTCATCAGGAACACAGTGACTTAACCTCGAGGTCATCAGGAACACAGTGACTTAACCTCGAGGTCATCAGGAACACAGTGACTTAACCTCGAGGTCATCAGGAACACAGTGACTTAACCTCGAGGTCATCAGGAACACAGTGACTTAACCTCGAGGTCATCAGGAACACAGTGACTTAGCCTCAAGGTCATCAGGAACACAGTGACTTAACCTCGAGGTCATCAGGAACACAGTGACTTAACCTCGAGGTCATCAGGAACACAGTGACTTAACCTCGAGGTCATCAGGAACACAGTGACTTAGCCTCGAGGTCATCAGGAACACAGTGACTTAACCTCGAGGTCATCAGGAACACAGTGACTTAACCTCGAGGTCATCAGGAACACAGTGACTTAGCCTCGAGGTCATCAGGAACACAGTGACTTAACCTCGAGGTCATCAGGAACACAGTGACTTAGCCTCGAGGTAGCCTCACCCTCGTGTCGCCTCTGCTTTGCAGCTTCCATCAAACCGCCCAATTTTTATTTTGTACTTTTTATAATCATAATTTGTTGCGAGGAGCATAATAAACAGTTAATAGCATTGATGTGTGTTCTTTCTTGTTCCTGTCACTGTAAACTATTGTGTTTAGATCACAAATATGTTTTAGCTGAAGAAATTATTTACTTGTAGAAATAAGGATATATTAAACCCCAGATTTAAACTGGGATTCAATGGCAAGTGACAATACATTGCATTGAGGTACGTGAGATAGTGCCAAATAAATACAGTTAATAGGTTCAGGTACTTAGATTATAATCTACGCTCCTATAATAATAATAATAATAATAATAATAATAATAATAATAATAATAATAATAATAATAATAATAATTATTATTATTATTATTATTATTATTATTATTATTATTATTATTATTATTATGGGAAGGGTTAAAAGCCCATAAGAGAAATATACATAGTTCGCAGTCACGTGACCTGGTCAGTTGTGTCCGCCATATTGTTAGTGATACTCGCTTATTCATTCTCTAGCCGTCGTGTGTGATAATCCTATAAAGTGCTGGACAAACTGTGTCACAGAGTCGCACTGTGGTCACCCATCACACAAGGCTTCTATCTGACAGAAGAAGAATTATCGGTAAAAGCAGAAGGTGGAAATTTTTAGGTGTATGTGATGGGTAGGCAGCGCCTCGAGTGTTGTTTATACTCGGTAAACTTGACAGAGAAGTTCTCAAGTCTTGAGTTTGGCGACATGTCTCTTTTTGGCGGAAACTTCCTCGCCATACACACCTTAGAGACGATGAATTCTTAAGATCGGCCGGATTTTCAGAGTTGGCTGAGTGAATGATGCCATGGTATGGCACGTACAGGAGCTGGCTGAGTGAATGATGCCATGGTATGGCACGTACAGGAGTTGGCTGAGTGAATGATGCCATGGTATGGCACGTACAGGAGCTGGCTGAGTGAATGATGCCATGGTATGGCACGTACAGGAGCTGGCTGAGTGAATGATGCCATGGTATGGCACGTACAGGAGCTGGCTGAGTGAATGATGCCATGGTATGGCACGTACAGGAGTTGGCTGAGTGAATGATGCCATGGTATGGCACGTACAGGAGCTGGCTGAGTGAATGATGCCATGGTATGGCACGTACAGGAGCTGGCTGAGTGAATGATGCCATGGTATGGCACGTACAGGAGCTGGCTGAGTGAATGATGCCATGGTATGGCACGTACAGGAGCTGGCTGAGTGAATGATGCCATGGTATGGCACGTACAGGAGTTGGCTGAGTGAATGATGCCATGGTATGGCACGTACAGGAGCTGGCTGAGTGAATGATGCCATGGTATGGCACGTACAGGAGCTGGCAGAGTGAATGCCATGGTATGGCACGTACAGGAGCTGGCAGAGTGAACGATGCCATGGTATGGCACGTACAGGAGCTGGCTGAGTGAATGATGCCATGGTATGGCACGTACAGGAGCTGGCAGAGTGAATGATGCCATGGCATGGCACGTACAGGAGCTGACTGAGTGAATAATGCCATGGTATGGCACGTACAGGAGCTGGCAGAGTGAATGATGCCATGGTATGGCACGTACAGGAGCTGACTGAGTGAATGATGCCATGGTATGGCACGTACAGGAGCTGGCAGAGTGAATGATGCCATGGTATGGCACGTACAGGAGCTGGCAGAGTGAATGATGCCATGGTATGGCACGTACAGGAGCTGGCAGAGTGAATGATGCCATGGTATGGCACGTACAGGAGCTGGCAGAGTGAATGATGCCATGGTATGGCACGTACAGGAGCTGGCAGAGTGAATGATGCCATGGTATGGCACGTACAGGAGCTGGCAGAGTGAATGATGCCATGGTATGGCACGTACAGGAGCTGGCAGAGTGAATGATGCCATGGTATGGCACGTACAGGAGCTGGCAGAGTGAATGATGCCATGGTATGGCACGTACGGAGCTACCACCTGAGTGATGCCGTGGTATAATGCACATGACAAAGATATATACGTCATCATTACTGGGGTAAGTGACATTTTCATATACTGTACATTTTTATTATTGCGTGCGTATTATTTTGAATATTTACTGTTTATGACCCTCTCAAGGGAGGTTACTTGATTTTGGTGAGGCTCTTGATCAGAGGCATATAATGTGTGATCCCGTTCATTGGATAGAACCTGAATGCCTCCTATTTTCTCAGGCGCTGTATGAGCCTTACAGGTTTAGTGTTCCCCACTAAATAAATGAATGATTTTATAATTTGTTTGTATTAAAATAAGCAGGTCATCTTCATATAATTAAAATAAATATGTGCAGCAATATCAACACGATCGAGATCGTAGAAGACTTCTAAAATAGCGTAAATTAAAAAAAAATAATCCAATTTTTTAAAGGGGTGAACCGGCAAACTAGCGGAAGGCCTCGGTCAGATGACCAAAAGCTCCAGCGGCGGGTCACCATGTGACTTAGATCAGCGTCAGCAACACCTGTCCTATTTCCTGACAGACCTTGCCTAATCTAAGCATAAAATAACTTCTTTAGCCGTATAATATAAATGATTGTCAGCAATTTTTCTTATACTGAGGAGAGATGTTGGTCTTGAAGCCACTACCTAGTATTGTGGCGTGCTTGTGTCAGAAGCCAGACACAGGTATGGTAGGATTATGGACAGTGGAGTCAGAGTGTACATGCTGTGGATTCCATCTCACATTGGTCTTCAGATGCATGATATAACTGATAAATTGGCTAAGCTGTATGCTTTCAAAGAGGGAGTAGATTACAATCTTGGGTTGTCAGTTAGTAGTTCGAGAACAATAATACGAAAAGAACTTCAACTAAATATTATTGACTTGAGACTCATGGAGACACACCAGTCAGTCGATCTATCATGTAGGAGGAGTCATATGTCTGTGGTGCATACAATAAAATAAGTAGACTCTTGGATGTCGCTACCGCCCGGCTCCGGCTGGGTTACAAGTATCTTTGGCAGGTTAAATCACCAACACCAGATGTAGACCAAATGAAATGCAAACTTTGCCAGATGGACTATTGTCACACCTTGCGTCATTATGTACTGGAGTGCGATAAAATTAATGAATTCAGAGACAACTCAGAAATGTTCAAGGTATGCCAAAGTAATTTATCCACAGTGGTATATTCCAAACCATTCTCGAAAAATACCTTGACTTTGCTCACTGTAAATAAAGCATTACCACGTGTACTCACCTAGTTGTGGTTGCAGGGGTCGATTCATAGCTCCTGGCCCCGCCTCTTCACTAGCCGCTACTGGGTCACTCCCTACACCATGAGCTTTATCATACCTCTACTTAAAGCTATGAATGGATCCTGCCTCCACTACATCGCTTCCCAAACTATTGCACTTCGTGTGTGTACTCACCTAATTGTACTCACCTAATTGTTGCAGGGGTCGAGACTCAGCTCCTGGCCCCGCCTCTTCACTGATCGCTACTGGATCCTCTCTCTCTGCTTCCTGAGCTTTGTCATACCTCTTCTTAAAACTATGTATGGTTCCTGCCTCCACTATTTCACTTGCTAGGCTATTCCACTTGCTGACAACTCTATGACTGAAGAAATACTTCCTAACGTCCCTGTGACTCGTCTGAGTCTTCAGCTTCCAGTTGTGACCCCTTGTCCCTGTGTCCCCTCTCTGGAACATCCTATCTCTGTCCACCTTGTCTATTCCCCGCAGTATCTTGTATGTCGTTATCATGTCTCCCCTGACCCTTCTGTCCTCCAGTGTCGTCAGTCCGATTTCCCTCAACCTTTCCTCGTACGACATTCCCCTGAACTCTGGAACTAGCCTTGTTGCAAACCTTTGTACTTTCTCTAACTTCTTGACGTGCTTGACCAGGTGTGGGTTCCAGACTGGTGCTGCATACTCCAGTATGGGCCTAACATACACAGTGTACAGTGTCTTGATCGATTCCTTATTAAGGTATCGGAACGCTATTCTCAGGTTTGCCAGGCGCCCGTATGCTGCAGCAGTTATTTGGTTGATGTGTGCCTCCGGTGACGTGCTCGGTGTTATGGTCACCCCAAGATCTTTCTCCCTGAGTGAGGTCTGTAGTCTTTGTCCACCTAGCCTATACTCTGTCTGCGGTTTTCTTTGCCCCTCCCCAATCTTCATGACTTTGCATTTAGCAGGGTTGAATTCGAGAAGCCAGTTTCTGGACCACATGTCCAGCCTGTCCAGGTCTCTTTGCAGTCCTGGCACATCCTCATCCGATTTAATTCTTCTCATCAACTTCACATCATCTGCGAATAGGGACACTTCAGAGTCTATTCCTTCCATCATGTCGTTCGCATATATCAAAAATAGCATCGGCCCTAGAACTGACCCCCTGTGGGACCCCGCTCGTCACAGGCGCCCACTGTGATACCTCTTCACGTACCATGACTCGTTGTTGCCTCCCTGTCGGGTATTCCCTGATCCA